TATTGGAAAAATGCCATTTTAGTACTAAGTTCTTTTGAGCAAATCTGAATAGGCTAATGGAACAATAGAACAAGCGCACCTTAACGTTGGCAAATACGTAAGACAATATGAACATAACATGATTCAACTGCAGGTTGTGATATCATAAAAAGTCATGGACACTCGACTTGCTTTGGGGGTATGTTGACAGATGAACTTATCGCCCCAATAGAACCACTGAGTTGCACACGCGACTGATACACGCAATAGCGCCATACACGCGGGAGGGGTTTATTGTCAAATTTAACACTTCAAGGAAGGGTTGATGAAAACTGCCGTGTGCTAGTTTATCCTATCCATGTTTGCTTTCCTATCGGTTCTTGCATAAGATTTACTGTGTAGTGTATCGTTGCTTTAGTGTGTTACGTTTAATTTGATCGGGAGACGTGTTCGTCGACGTCAACGTCAACCGACAACACTGCAAGAATTGGCCGTGGCACATGTTTATGTTCATGTGAAGGCAATTGGCCTGTTATTATCATACACTGGTTACCTCTAATAAAAACAGCAGTGCATTTCCGCAGTTTTGTATTGTTTCTGAATATCCCCTACTTTTTTGAAGAGTATATTATAATTTTATTTCTAAAGCGCTACATTATAGCAATAGTTATTTCTAAGCGCTGTGCAGGCATATACATGCAATATAGATGATTAATATCTACATTCAAGTTAAACCAACTGTGTCTATATATTTTTTAAGTCTTACGTCGAGCTGTATAAACTCCAATGGCTGGTTAACAATGCGTAATTAAAGACTATAATTGGATCTTTGTAGAAATAATCATAGTAATTAAATTAAGGTGTCATACGATTGCACATAATATAAACTACGATATCATAACATTCTTTAATTACAATTCTCAGTAGGGGAGGGGTATAATTTATTGTGTAACATTGTGATTATAATCAAAACAATAAATCCCGTCCTATACTCCAAACAAGACATAGCAAGAAATACCTCCTATTGCGAACAGTTTAATATACCTAGAATTTTCTACACCAACTCGGGGGATTGGATGGCCGAATGGTTAGCACGCGCGCTGTATCATACGGTCTGTCATTGAGTCAACTGGCGAGGTTTCGATTCCCCGGTTGTACGTAGGGTCGCCTTTCCAACCTCGTGGGTTTTCTCCGGGTCCTCCGGTTTCCTCCCACAGCTAAAGACCCCTACGCGCAAACGAAGTATTGAAATAAAATTGAACCATGTGTTAGTCCCGAAATGACCTAGTTTGTGTCGAGTGGACGTTATACCCCATTTCTCTCTCTCTCTCTCTCTCTCTCCCTCTGTCTCTCTCTCTCTATACCAACTCTATTACATCCAGATATTTAAAGCGTGTTAACAATATATTCATTTAAGAGAAACTATGCTATTTCGAGATTAACATATCGTACAATTCATATTGATTTGACGATCGACCTCCTATTTACAAAACTACGAACTACAGTATAAACATGGTTTAGAAACTCTATCTGAACTACAGGGTACGTCATGATTAAGATACTACAGGGTACATCATAATTTAGAGACTATATGAACTACATGGTACACCGAAGTACAGGGTACTTCATGGTTTAGACACTCTATCCGAACTACAGGGTACATGATTGTTTAGACTCTCTATCCGAACTACATGATACATCGTGGTTTAGAGAAACTCGACTCCCGGTCCGTCCCTTGTAACACCAAGGCCGATAGTTATTCATTTCACGACCGACACTTGTAATTGCCACAGTAGTACATTTTATCACAAGCACGGGACACTTTGGCCTCACGAGGGATTCACACTCTATTGGAGGTCCGGTGGGGTACTCTCCTTGCTTTTATAAAAATGACCATAATAAAAAGTTTTCTGTAATTTGTCCTGATGTTTCTAACTTACTCACAAATTTGGTGTGTGGCAATCCTATTTGAAGTAAGTTTTGAACCCAACATTGAATTCAGTAACCCTAAAAATCCTTATTTTGGTTTCAGTTTTGGTTGTCGTTTTAAATTTACACCATCTGGACCATTCTTAATTAGTTTTTGTAGATAGAGATTGAACCCAACAATCACCAAACCCATATATAAGACATATACCAAGCCATATCCAACGGAAAAAAATGACAGTTAATTCAAATTCCATCTATTTAGATTTCATTTTGCCGGCCATTTTGAATTTCTACCATCAAGAATACTCGGAATTTATTTTTGAGATCAGAGTTGATCCCAACAACTCCAAAACACATATATAAGATATATTACCAAATTCTGAGACTTTGGACTAAATTTTGCCGGACATTTTGAATTTCTGCCATCATGGATTTATTTTGAGATCAGTATTGAACCCGGCGACACCGAGAACCGTGTAAATGACATGTTACAATAATATCCAACAGGTAAAAATGACGATTAAATTAATATCAGCTGTCGGAGACCGATAACCATATCAAAGACAGCAAAGGTCATATCTTACGAGACTATCGCTGCCCTTTGATTACCATATTTATGGGTTTTTTTAAAATTCCATTATATTACCAAATTTGGCAGGCATTTTGAAAGAAATGCCCGGCGCCATATCAAAAATACATTTTTTAAATTGATGTTTGTCAAATTGAATTTTTCGGCACATTTCGCTCGCATAATCCCTCTGTGTTTGAGGAATTTAAAAATAAATTATTTATCCTCCCACTACTAAAACACACTTATTACGAGATATGTCTCTTCGAAAATTCCTGAAGACCGCCATATTCAATTATGTTGATTACGTCATTTTGTCTGACATATTTATCATTGAACTAAACTGCATTGGTTTCTTTTGCAATTTGTTTAAGGTAAAACGCTATCCCACCCAACATAATAATACTGCAAGAAGTATATAAAGCTGTAAGACGCCATGGTGCGTCATGGTTTTTGTGGCGTCATAGTTGGGACCAAAAATGGCGCCTGGAAATGAGTTGTCTTAACTTTCCCTATACATGGCTTTGGTTACGGTAAGGTCGTAGGGATAAAATGGCAGCATTTTTTAACTCGCGAGTATCGATTTCCTATAGGTCGGTAATACATTTATTTGCACTAAAGTACACGGTTTCAGAGATTTCGTCGATTTTCTGGTCCACTGGCGGCCATCTTGCAATTATGTTAATTATTCAAATTTCCCCAAGACCGATAACGGCCGCTTTTGTTATGGGAGTACTAGAGGCCATACCTGAACGGTTCCCAAAGAAATGATTTCTGTTGCAGTTTGTTCTAGGTCCCCCGACACATATTGTTATCTCTACCCACCTAAATAGGTGCTCTCAATGTACCTGTATTTTGTAGTTATTGTATAAATAATTCAATAAAACAGATCTTTTTGGCAGGGATGGATTATAGTGTGTCCGGCGTGGCTTCTCCTCAGTGATGCAGGACGAAGGGACTAACCAGCAACGGTGTCTAGTCGTTCTGATGGTGTGCACGTAAAACAACCCTTAAAGGGACAATATTGGTGTCAGTCATTATCACATATGTGATAGAACTAATTAAACACGTTCCAAATATAATTTTATCACAGAGATCATTGCTACGATAGCTGAGTAATACAGGTTTCCTGAATCGGAAGTGACGAACGCCAAAGGAAAACACGAGCCATCCCTCTATGTAACCGACTGAAGTGACGAGTGATAACAGATACATGGGCGAATTTCTGCTCACTAATAATTCCTTCCAAGACCAAAAGTTGTTGTTTGAGACTGTGAGAGGATATGTGATAATGACTGATACCAATATTGTCCTTTAATAGTTGGAATTTGAAATAAGAGTAGGCCACTGTGGCGCCGACACTGAAAAACGTCCCTCATAGTACATTGCCAGCCTTCCCTAGCCTGCTTTGTGTAGAAAAGTAGGAGGACGTTAAACACCATTTTGTTTCATTTCCAGACGTTTTAAGAAACCTGTCCATTTACCGCCCCACATCGTGATGTAATGCGACCCCATATTGCTACAGCTCCAGTGCATTCATGCACCTTCCATACTTTTTTGTGGACACTCAAAGTTGAATTCTAAAGATCTCTGATAATTTCTACCAGATTACACTTGCTCTTTTTGTAAAATCAAGTGAACACTACTAGCAACGCTATCCGATCGAATTCCATAGGTTGGAACTGCGCTGGTGCTCTATTCAGGGGGAGTCACGGTGGCTAGGTGGGTAAGGCGCTGGCTCGCTATCCTGGAGGTCGGGTGTTCGATCCCTGCATTGGCCGAGAAAGTTCATCCTGATTTTCCGACGTGGTTTCCCCTTGTCAGTGATGCAGGACGGAGGGCCTGACAAGGACAGCTGTCTAGTCCTTCGGATGAGACGAAAAACCGAGGTCCCGTGTAAACATTGGAATGCACGTAAAAGATCCCTTGGCAGTTGGAATTCGATATAAGAGTAGGCGATAGTGCCGCTGCCCGGGCAAAATTTCCCCCATAGCACATTGTATGGCGTATGCCCGTCTTCATTAGCCCAGTATAGGAGCAGAACAGTAGGACGTTAAACCCCATTTCATTTCATTTCGCTCTATTCAGGACAGGCTAGTGTTGATTTGATTATTGTGTCGCTACCCATGTTTGCCGGATGGTAATAAAATATACGCTACTTTATATTCTCTCTGATTAGTTCTAATTTGAACAGTGTGTGTCCGTCTTTGAGATTAATGCCACTGAGATTGTAGGTTAGGGTAAGCATTGGGGCTAGGTCCAGGGTTAGTGTTAGGGTTGGGATTAGCGCTAGCCCTGTTTACATCTCGTGACCTTTGACCAAACTTGACCAAATGCATGTATAGTCCAACAATTAATTCCCAATTAATGGAATAAAATGAACTATTTAGTCCCGAAATGACCTAGTTTGTCTCGAGTGAACGGTAAATCCTATGGTCTGCGGTATGTGCCAGAGGACAGGGATGTTGTTGGACGTTCATAAAACTGAGTTTACGTTAAACATACATTATGCAAGAGCTAAATTACAGGTCTTTATTAGGCTTCAGAAATTGTTAATTAGACCTTTATTTACATGACAAGCTCAAAATCAACTCTGTAGACCTTCGGATGGCTCGGATACAGCTTGGATTTAAACAGTCGCCCATTTAAAATTAAGCCAATAAATGGCCGACCAAGCTAACGTTTACCGTTAATCACTGTCGGACATCCCTTTAAAGATTCATTCCCACAAAAGTATTTATCGGGTGTTTATTTCCAATAAAAGTATGGCAATTAAAAGTAGAGACACCCAATCTTACTAGAAAAATACTAGATTCCCTGAAAAAACAACCACGGGGAACACTCAGAACAAAAATGAGAGGGTGTCACCAATTGGCAGCCCACCGATTAGGATTGTCTACTTGAGTGACTTCAACGGTTGCCCGCGTAGATGTCTGACCTATTTCCGTTCTATATAAGGGAGAGCTTATTATGTTGATAAACTTAATGGTGAGTGGACATGGAAAAAGTGAGACACTTTTAAAACGTATAACAGTTTCTGAGATAAAACGCGGAAAAAGACTTGGACAGGGGATAATCCGAGAATTTACCCAGGCTTTCATATTTATGGTAAATGGACAGCGATTAAAGACAACGCCATCTTTTATATGCAATAAATTCTGAATTCTCCCCCGGTTTGGCACCTGTAGCTAGTTTCCTAGACCGCCAAGTCACGTAACACAAAAATGACTATTTAAAATAGGGGTATTTCCTGAAAGATTAATTAGTTTGAATATGTTTTTAGTCCAAATATATCATCAGTTTGAACATGGGAAGGTATCTTTAATATCAGAGGATAAATATAAGTTCGAATGATTGGTACAAATTTTTAATTGGTGAATAAAATATCATCGATCGTCCACTATATCAATGTTTCTGACATATTCCCCTTGGTTTGTATCTTTTTTTATGTTGATATCAGGTAACTGTTTTCTATAATTTGGTCTTTAATTTCAATCGCTTCATCTTTGATTTCTATAATATCCTTACCATATTCACTATCACTATCCACAATATTATCTAACTGATCTGTCTCTGTTGGTGTAGCTGTGCCTATAGGAGTAACGTCCCCTGTTTCATTATTAGTACCGGTTATCGCCTCTGGTGACTTTGTAGCGTTGGCCTTTTCTGCGCTATTTATGTGTGAATTATTTAACCAGTTTCTAAAACAGTTAATTCCTTTATCCTGTATATCTTTCCTCCCCTTCAGCGTTACTGTATCACCATCTTCTTTGATGACAACTAATTTTGGTATGGCTGTTATATGGTACTTATTGAGTAGAGTTCTGTGGATAGAAATTGTAGGATAAAATGTCAGGGGCGGGTCCAGGAATTCTTGCAAGAGTGGGGTTTGCCAGGTTCTTGTTAAGGAAATTTGACAGTTGACAATACATGATGCCATCATCGTTTCCAAATTACGTAGGCATACATACACACTGTGATTTTTGAAGAGAGAAATCCAACACCCCGTTAGAGGTCAAATTTTATTATGAATTAATAGGATCACATGGTGACTCAATTTTATTAATGCAAAGCATTAATTTTGATTTTACATATGTCTAAATCATTTTAATAAAAGAAAAGTGGTATGTATCCATCAATATCACTGTACGAAGCTTCAATGTATTAAATTATTAAGTGGATCTTTGTACATGTGTATTTATTGTATATTTAAACGTATTAAATTATGAATTAACTAGGCATTCTAATTGAATAATTTACTTATATCCATTGTGTATATTGTATATATATGTTTACATGATAATTATCAATGATCGATGTAAAAATAGATTTATATTTATTAAATTATTTGCAGTTATATATACATATGCTGTGATAATTGATCATCTTGACATATTTATATTAAATATCTAATATTCTACAATTTATATTTAATATTAAATTCAGACTCGGAATATTATATCTATCTGTCAATCATATTTATATTCCTTGAGTAATTTCTTACGATAATTCGAATTCATCTTGTTTTGTTTTGCTTTTTTTTGGGGGGGGGGGGGGCTAAAAATTGTGATGACAAATTGTTCTATGGACCTTTGGTCTTTCATATATGAAAATAAAGATTATTATTATTATTATATAAAATTATTATCTCGCGCTTTGAATGCCCATCCCATCCCACCATATTTTTCTTTTTAAACAAATACTCACTCTTTAAAAGTGTCATCATAGGGTAACGCCAACCAATCTTCGTGATTTTGAATAAAATATTCCTCCATTGAATCTTTACTATGATCTAAACTTATAAACACGACTTGAAAATCACACCCTTTCTCCTTTAACTCTTTGTAAAATTCATTTAGTACTGACGTAAACTTCTGGCACGGTGGACACCAAGATGCCGAGAAATAAAGGGCAACAACTTGCCCCTTTAAAACTTCCTCACTTGAAATATCGCCTCGGAATTCAGTTCTAATTTCACCGTTTAATTCCACCCGGGTCTTTGAAAAGAGTTTGTGATCTTTGAAAAATTGAGACATCTTTAAAATAAGACTGTTGGGTCAGGAGCAAAGCATGTCTATAATTACAGCGAATCCTTCTTCTCGTTTTTCGTTACACTCTAGAATACAAACAAATAATATTTAATTGCGTACAAATCCTAATTCTATAAGAAGGATAATTCACGTATAACCGTCGGATTGGCGCACTAATCTTAAGATTAAGGAACAGCGTGAATGGAGCCAATGTAGCCAGTATATGTGCGTGTGTATGTGGTGGGGGTGGGGTAAATACATATTAAAGGTGATTAAGAGAAGGGGGTGGGGGGTGATTCTCATTTGTTTGGTATGTCTGGTAAAATTAAATGTTCATAGCGGCTGACGCAGGGACTGGAGGGGGGTGGGGTAGTTATGTGCATAGATATTCTAAGCATTGAAACGAACTGCTATAATATTTTATTATCTCTATATATTATTCCATGTTCCAGCTTTACACTATATTAATTATATTTTACAATCTACCCATTCCCATTTTGGTGCTGTTTATATATGATGTGACATTAAATGAACTAAACTGAAACTTTCTATTTTTACCTAATGCTTGAAAAATTACAGATTTAGATATATTTCTGTGAATGAAGATGAAGATATTAATCTTGTCTGTATAGACGAAGACGAAGATATTAATTATGTCTGTGGAGAAGAAGATATTAATTATGACGGGAGATATTATACGTTCTATGTATTCTAACTTATAAGCTATGTTGACCACATACCATATTATCAATCAGTTGACCTGATAGGATCTATATCTTTCCTTGTTTACATAACGCGACACATCAATAAAACCACACCGACCGTCTCCATTCTCAAAAGTCAGGTTTAAACACGCAGTAGTCTCGATTAAACAGACCCATTAGCGCGGCGGGAATATTTATTCCTTTCAAAATTCTTAACTGGACTGGTCGAATATTGTTATATCGCAAATTCTACGTCGCACATAACAACGGAACATTGACTCTTCTATTGCTCAATATTTGATCATTTATAATTAATTTTATAGACCAACAAATTGTAGAAGCTAATTGACAATCTTCCAAAGAATTTAATACTCCTACCTTTTACGATTGCTAATATTTTGAGTTGTCGGGTCTATCTCTCTGTTTATGTTAAAATACATTTATTAATGACGTTATTATAGATAAGAGGAATCTATCAACGCCAATGCCGCTATGAAAAGAAACAAATGATTTGCTAGCCCTGTCAATTAACCACTGGTTTGTCTACTAGGGAGCTTAGTGTTTAAATCAAATTTTTATCCTCCAGAGACATCAAAAAATAACCAAATATTATTTTAACTCATTTAAATCTGTAATTAAAAAAAAGTGCATTTTCAACAGGTCTATTCTACAGTCACGAAATATTTATCCGTGACATCATAAAACAATAACGTCACGGCCGCTATGACGTTATAACACAATTGTAATGTTGCGATGGTGAAGATTTTGTTATGTTGTCACAAAGAACATAACGATTGTCGCATATTTTAGAAATGGGTTAAACACATATTGTTGCGACAAAATAATATGGGGATGATTTTTGGATTTATTTTCCGAAAAAAGGGAAATTAATGACATGATCCTGGCAAGATGGAAGATATGAGTTTTCTTCAAGGAGGCTTAGAAAATCTAAAACTTATTGCCGACAATGTATGGAATGTTTATGATTATGACACAGAATTTAGAGACATTTTTGCGAATATTTCACGGAGAGAGAGTTTGATAAGCCATCGATTTGAGTCTCTTTCGTCGGCTGATATTTTATCCGATCTTCAATACACTATTCAAGATCCCACACCAACTTCAGGGGAGAATTGTGATAATATATTTGACGGAGAAATGTAAGTTTTTAATAAATTGTGTTGTTTTATTTAAAACAAATTTGTAAACATTAGACTAGATCAACATTGTTCTTGGGTTTGCACCTACTGCCTTGCCGTTCTAATGTACAGTTTACAGCATGTAATATGTAGACTCTTCCTCTAAATCTGCGTTTACCTTTCGGCAAGCGCATTCATTGGGTAGATAGATAGATCTACTAGATCTATTTCCCGTCAAATATAAATCTGCGTTTACTTTTCGACAAGTTTATTTATTTGGTAGATCTAAAGTCTAGGACTATTCCATTTGATTGGTTTGCCGTGAAATATTTCTGAATTTTGACAGAGACATAGCACTCCTTCATATATAATATAGTAACTTTATAAAAAAAATGGATAGGCCTATTTATCACATTTTTTGAACATGATTAGCCCACTAATATTATATAGATCTAGATCTAAAAAGGTTAATAATTATTTTTTGAAAAAAGGCACGGGTGCCCTTATCTCAATTTTGCAAAATTTCACCGAGAATATACCACAAGATGCCTTCACCAACCTTTAGTTTACGTGCATGTACGTACGGGTCGATTTTCTTTCTTTTTGTGTGTGTGGGGGGGGGGCTGCCCGAAAAATAAATCTACATAAAATTTAATTTACCAGTCAGGGCGCCGGATCACCATCAGTGAAATTAGCTAAGAACTAAAATGTTTACATTGACTGATATAGTGTATTATTCATCATCACACCTAGATCTAATTAGTAATTATAATCAACCAAAATTCTGATAAAATTGTATTTTACCATGTGACCTTTATTCTAATTTAAGTCCTTTATCGCCTACTTTTTTTTCAATCTCAGTGTAATTTATTTTACTGCTTCTTAGATTTCAGTTAAAGGATGAATCAGGGGATGGCGTAACGTATCCGTATTTGAATTATGAAGATAGCGATAACAAGGTCAGCTAATCTATTTTTTTTTAAAAAAAACAAACCCAACAAACTACATGTAGTTAATATAATATAGTTCTCAGTTAAGCCTATTTCCCGAAAATCATGGTTTTTCGTCGTGTTGATAGATCATGAATTGTGGATCGACAAAAATACACGTTCTTTTAGTAAGGGTAAAATGCTACGTTTGATCCATCAGCTCAGCGAGCCAGTGGCTCAGTGTGTTCGGAAGATCCCATGTGCTTCAACGTGTTTAAACCCTCCTTTGCCAGTTATAGGACGAAGAGGGGGCAGAAAACCCCAGCGCCTAGTCGCAAAAAACGAACCCCGTGTACATATTGGCAGGTAAATTTCTGCTCGTATGTCCATCTCCATTACCCAACTTGGTCACGTTGGTGCAGAAGTACGTTAAACCAGAGACTATGGTTAAACCCCATTTCATTTCATGCAATTTCATTGCATGCAATTTCATTGCATGCAATTTCTTTTAAAAACATACATTATGTACGAGCTGAATCTGCCTATTATAGGTCTTTCTTTAGGCCTGAAATGTGTTCTAAATTATTAATTAGAAATTAATTAACTGATCCAGGTCATAATCAACTCTCGATTGCATCGGATTTGTCCGATATTAAATAGATTAGAACGGTTCAGTCATATTTTGATTTAATCTAAAAAAGAATGGAGGAGCGAGACTTAGCTTCGAACAACCAGTACGGTAGTTGAAATTATTGCACACGTCTTGTCAAACCTTCAAAGGCTAATATCTTCGCTCGCAATAGAGTAATTTGAATGAAATTTTCAAATTATTCATTTTACATTATCCATTTTCGAACTATTATAGCAAAAATGGCTAGCTCTTTATCTAAATCTTACATAATGTATATTCTGACACTATTTAGTTTCACTTTTCTTCTTAAAAATTCGGGTTTTGATTATGTTTAAACTTATTTTTCAGATTGAGAATGCATACTGGGAAGACTTAAAAACCGTTGGAAGTGGCCGACAAGCAGAAATTAATGTCACCTTTAACAACGCATTTGACCCTAGATTGTAAGTCATGAGTAGTTTTATTGGTGACCGAGTATCAATGATAAACAAGCTATGTAAAAATGTGATTCAAACATACAAATCTCTCGGCGTGGTTCTGGAATTGAGTTCCTCTTTGACATTTCGTCTTTTTTTGCTGAATACGTTCCTAGATAAGCCACTGTCGGAATTAACTTCATATGACCACAAGAAAATAAAAACATTTTTGAGCTATTTTTTTGCGGTACCCTTGAGGAAAGTCTATCCCCAAACTACTTTTAAAGAATAGTTCAACAGCATAAAACATTTGAAGACATTACAGTGTCTGTCCAATCGCTTTTTTTTTTATCAACGAACCCTTTATAATGTGGATAATGAATTTAAACTTTGATATGTTACCAATTATATTAAAAAATTTGATCATGTTTCAACGACATTTGTACTAAATGTAGTTGCGCCAGAGTTAATGTAGTAACTCTACAGTTTCTAGTTTTAATAAAAACATATTCATATTTCTTATTTACTTGCCACACAAGCAGGCGGCTTCCGGGCCGCGTGGCCAAGTATCTACATGTAAAATAACTTTTATAATACGAATGACCGTATGTTTATTTGTTTTCTAGAAGTTTTGCCGGACTTGGTGGAGACTGTTGCTTTTTGGATGATTTGGAACAAGATATAAGTGTTCAACACAATGTGTACATGAATGTAGAAGATGTAGCAGACATTGTAGATGAATATCACAATAAATATAGATTATTCTTAAATAGGTTAAATGGCAGTCGAAACGAAAAGGCCAAGATAAACAAAAGGATCCTCTTAGGTCAACCAAAGAAGCAGCACACCTCACCATTAAAGGCTTTTGACATCAAAACCTGCTGGAAAGATGAAGAAGAAAGACAATTAGTTGACAAATTAGATACAATGGCTTTGAGGAACATATGGAAGGGAAGCAATCCGGTAGGTGAAAGTCACAATGTAACCCCAGATCCCAATCATGTTTGCAGTCAACCCATAATGAATGTTGATGCTATGACACCAAGTCCGAATTTGGCCAAGACACGAACTGGTCGAACTCCAGGTGGAAGAGTCAACAAGAATATTCAACCAACAAACTCTTGCAATGTTACAACCACAACCGATAGCACGGATGTATCCAGTCAGTTGCCGATGGAGTCCTACAACATATGGGCCAATGTTTGGTCCACTGGAATTCGCAGAGAACAGCCTCCAGATATCACACCTGGACTGTCATTGCATTCTCAAAATATTCCAAGACCAAACGAAAACGTCGAGGAAGGATTAAAGACTAAGGGTACTTCAAAGGCTTTTTCGGAAACAAGTGTATTCCACGATGACGGAAAGTCGATCCCAGTTCTAACGTCAACGCGTCACCAAGATAGAGACAGGGCCCGAGCCAAATCAATGAGAAGCGAATCATCGCTCACAAAGATTGGTACGTCGAATTTACCGTCAGTACCCAAGTTACACTCGCCAAGAGAAACAACCCAGTCTAGTTTTGTTGAGGGCGGTTTTTATTCAGAGGTTTCTAAGAACCCAGCTCGAGGTCGATCAGAGATTTTCCCTAAAGAATCAGATTATGCACATCTTCAGCCTGGTCTGTTTTCCTTACTTCATGAACCTGAAATTTCTAAAGTTCCGAATTCAGATCCCTTTTCGTGGACATCTAAGAACCCAGCTTGGGATCAATCGGAGATTTTCCCTAAAGAATCAGATTATGAACATCTTCAGCCTAGCCAGTCTTCCTTACATCATAAACCTGAAATTTCTAAAGTTCCGATTTCAGATCCCTTTTCGTGGACATCTAAGAACCCAGCTCGAGGTCAATCAGAGATTTCCCCTAAAGAATCAGATTATGCATATCTTCAGCCTGGCCAGTCTTCCTTACATCATGAACCAGAAATTTCTAAAGTTCCGATTTCAGATCCCTTTTCGTGGACATCTAAGAACCCAGCTCGAGGTCAATCAGAGATTTCCCCTAAAGAATCAGATTATGCATATCTTCAACCTGGTCTG